TTTTTTAAAAGAAAAAAGTTATATTTTGAGTAGAATTTCAATATTCAATAACTAGAACAAAAACTAAAAACTTTTTGCAATGTACTCAACGCGTATTTAACCAATGGGTAAAGGCTGAAAAAGAAGAATATGAAAATGCAAAAAATACCATTTCAATTTTTTATCAATATTATTGAAAAAGTATAACTAGCATTTGGCGAAATAAAGTCATAAGGACATAGGGATTAAGGAGTGCAATTTTATTTTATTTTTAAACAATTATAAAAATATATATATATATATATATGCATTTAATAAAGGCTTTTTGTCAAGTAAAAATATAGTTTTCTTTGATTCGACTTATTATATCCTGGCGAGGGAGGCTAAAAGAAAGACAAAAGCAATGCAATCGTATTTCGTAAGGAATATAATACTGGATAGTCGCCTGTAAACTTATATCTATCTTTGGTATTTGTGTGAAATCAACCGTAAAAGGGGTCGCGGAGTACATCTGGGTCTCTCACTCCACAAACACCATGGACTTGCTCTCGCTCTCATCTCCTCTAACCCCATCCTTGTCCTCTCTTCAACTTAAACTTAAACATAAAACCTCTTTTACTTCGCCAAACCCAAAGCCTTCCTTTTTGTGCTTGACACCCACACCCGTTTCTTCATCTGTCAAAGTCAAAACCACCCCTAAGTGCCTTCAACTGTCTGCCCCTCAGAGCCCCGCCACCGCCATGCGAGGGGCAGAGACCGACGCTATGGGCTTGCTGCTCAGGGAGCGCATTGTTTTCCTTGGAAACAACATCGATGATTTCGTGGCTGATGCCATTATCAGTCAATTGCTGCTTTTGGATGCTCAGGACCCTAACAAAGATATCAGACTCTTCATTAACTCCCCTGGTGGTTCTTTGAGGTATGCCTTTTTCAAGGCTTTTATATTGTTTAATGCCTTAATCCCTCCGCTGTATAACCCAGATTCAGCTGGTCAATTTTTTACTGAAAAGACCAAGTTCTTAATATAGATTCTGCTCTATTCCGTGAACTTGCTTTATGGTTTCATAAGCTAAATGCTTTTTATAATCAGTGAGAATGAGAATTGTGATTTATTTTCTTTTTGCCTATTTTGTCTCATTGGTTTAATAACTTGGTCTGTCTGGAATAAGGGTGTTTGATGTTATTAATCTTGCTATGGAGTATGAAGGACAGTTTGTTACGAATTTAGATTCTTATGATGTTCACAAAATCAACAGTGTGGAGCAAGTGAAATGATTGACCGTTTTAATTTCTCCTTATCAATTGCAAAACACCTGAACCTGTTGCATCTGCTTGGTAGCCCTGTCTTTCGTAGCAAAAATTAGGGGAGTTTACATTTTCTTGGGATCACACGTTTTTGAAAAAGTGGATTTTCACAGCTCTTTGGTTAGCTTCCTGTGCTTCCATTCTTTCGAATGTTAGCTACTTGCCATTGACGGCATAGTAAAATTACTTAAATCCACTTGTGTCTTAGACATATTAAGGTGTAGTTCTAATTGGTGGACTTGAGCCAGAACCAAGCTTATCAAAGATGCAACTGGACTTCTTTAAAACTGCACCAGATAACCTTTTTTAATTTTATATTTGAAATTACATGGCATTACGTTCATGGTATTGCAAACTAGTGTCTTGTAATCTATTTATTTGGAACCTTGAATTTCTACCTTTTTCTTTTGTTTAACTTTGTAACTTGTTGGTGGTTTTTGAAATTTTGCACTTGGGATTTTGAAGATTCATGCTTAAAGTTTAAACTTCTTTCTGCCTTTAGGGTCTCATTAGGTTTTTCCTTTTTGTTATTTATTCAACTTTCTGAGAAGATTCTTGGGCTTGTATGTGATCATATTGTGTCAACATTGACTTCACCATTATAGCAGGTATTTCATTATTTGTTCAAACTAAGTATGTTATCTTTCTTCTTGTTTCAAATGTCAAGCAAGGATATCATTGGAAGTAATTTAAAAAAACGTATGCCTTTTTGGGTAGATTTTTGTATGTTTCTCAATCTACTGAAGTTCCTGCCACCAGAGGCTAAAATCTATGAAGTATTGCGCCCTAGTTTCAACATAGGAATATATTTATGTATATGTGGTCATCAACTTATAGTTTGTTTGGTTATGAAAGTCATTTTCTGCATGTTCAAGAATTTGGCAAGCCAAAAAAAATGTGGTCAATAGAAACTAACTTCTACTTGGTGGAGAACCATGGGATGAGATGAGGAGAACAACTTTGGGAACTTATTTACCTTGCTTAACTAAGTGGTGCTTTTCTCTCTCTTTTTGCATCAGGAATTTCCCTCCTCCCTTGTTGGGCCTCTTAATGATGTCACCTACTTGTGTTTGTGACCTCCTTTGTCTTGTCTTTTGTTCCTAACCATCTGAATAGACCTTTGGAATCTTGAAGTTAAAAGTTGGTTCTTGAATTTAAAATCTGTTCTTTATGGGTGGTTCAGTTGAATCCTCTTGATTGGATGATAACCAGGTGTCTCATGAATAGAAAAGCTAGTGATTTCTTAATGAGTTTGTTTGCTAATAATAGTAAAAGTTTCCCCTTGCAATCCAAACATTGGGAAACACTTTCCACCGTGTTGTTCAAAGGATAGAAAATGTTTTCCTTAAAATATTTACACTGGAAATCATTTTCTATGAACCAAAGGGAGCCTTGATGTCTCTTGTGAATGCATTTTAAAGTTTTCAAAGTTGGATTTCTTTTGTTTTGTTAATTTGCATTGGAAAGGATGTTGTTGCATATTCACTGTAGAGGCATCTAATTTAAGAGTCTTGACATGAGTCTAGAGAAGCACCTCCAATTACTGTTCATGGCCAACAACAGCTAACAAGATTCTTCCTTTTTCTTTGCCATATTTTTTCTGAACTTTCTTCCATGCTTTACAGCTTTAATAAACCATTTACTCATATATTGTCTAATGTCTTCGTTTTAAACTACCAACCCTATCTTCTGGCAATTCTTTTGTCATCCAAACTGTGATGGAATAAATTCGTGAGCTGACAAGTCATGGCTTGGCTGAGTTACTTTATTGCAAACATGCGGGCTGAAGATACCTTTTCTAGATTACTTTCGTAAGGCCCTATCAAACTGAATAATGACCTTTTTGTTTGATCTTCAAATAGTATCACACCATTTGTTAGAATCTTAGAAATGATTTGGCAATTGAGTGCAACTTTTATTTGATGGGAGGGGTATTCTACTTGAATTAGGGCAATATCAACTTTTACTTATATTGCATGGTGAAATGGAGATGTGGTTTGGAAGTGTGCATATTCTGGGAACTTTTTGTGTATATAGCAGTTGGAAAATGTCTGCACTCATTACATGTTATATTTCCATTGAGGCTTGAGGCATTGTTTGGATTGAGGGGCTGCATATCCTCCCTTGTTTGGAAAACATTTTAATTGAAGGGGAGGGATTTGGTACATAAGGCCCTCTTAAAGTCCAAACCTCCATCTTTCTAAAACTCTTTTAGAGAATTTGTAAGGGAAGGATTGCTCATAAATTTTTTTATTTTACTGATATAATTACTTTGATTTTAACATATCAAGAATATAATTGCTAATAAACATGATAAATTTCCATTTCCGTCCCTTTTCACTCCTTAATGAAAGAAGATTGCTGGTGTGCCCTTTCCTTTGCTTTCCTTTTCATTTTTTTGTGTAATCCAAATAAGGGTTATTTACTTTCTGCTTGCCCATTCTCTATTCTCCTCCCCATCTTGACGTACAAAGGATAGAAATTTTCTTGTTAAAGGCGCCATTTCAAAATCTTGTCTTTTTCTATTTGATTTTTTGATTGTTCCACATTGCTTGTCTATCCTTTGCTGATCTGCTTCTGCTTTTGGTATTTGTATCAGTGCTACTATGGCTATCTATGATGTAGTACAGCTTGTCCGGGCTGATGTTTCCACTGTTGCACTTGGCATTGCAGCATCAACAGCTTCTATTATCCTTGGCGGTGGCGCCAAAGGCAAGCGCCTTGCAATGCCCAACACTCGAATAATGATTCATCAACCTCTAGGAGGTGCTAGTGGACAAGCTATAGATGTAGAAATCCAAGCACGGGAGGTTATGCATAACAAGAATAATGTGACAAGAATAATTTCTGGTTTTACTGGACGTTCGTTTGAACAAGTCCAGAAGGATATTGATAGAGATCGCTATATGTCTCCAATTGAAGCAGTCGAATACGGAATAATTGATGGAGTTATTGATAGAGATAGCATCATTCCGTTGGCCCCTGTGCCAGAAAGAGTGAAAGCAACTCTAAACTATGAGGAAATTAGAAAAGATCCAAGGAAATTCTTGACCCCTGATATTCCAGAGGATGAGATATACTAGATTGGGACATTTGATGCAGGCCTATGGTTTTGATGGTATTGCTTTTTTGTGTTAGTTGCGTAGAACTTTGTAATTGGCCTGTTCAATTGCAACACAAAAATGAATTTGTTGATTGCTGCAATCAGAATGCTGTCTAATTATAATAGGCTGTTGTTGCTTTTAGAAATGAATTGAAAATCATGAAAACAGTGGAAGCTTGAAACTTTTATTTAGTTCATCTTGAGGTATCTGGTTATTGTATCGGTGTACTTGAGTGCACAAGACATGATGTAAGCCAGTTTTAATTTGTACAAGGCAAAGCTTTTTGTTTGTGGACAACTGAAACAGGAAATGGGTTGAGGTAGTTGAGCCAAAATGGAGGTTTTCATCACAAAACTCAAGTCTAGGAGTATTTGTTAATCGTATTGTCATCATTAGCATCACATGATGAATATTCTGGAACATTTCATTCATGGAAGAATTTTAAAGAAAATTGGAGATGAAATTATGGTAGAGATTGGGGAGGTGGTGATTTTCGGCTTCATTCATTGAATTCAAGAAATATCTTAACCAAGTTACTGTAGCGCATCCTCAGGTATCATTGGGCCGATGGGCTCCATCCATTACTAAAATGTAAAACTTAAATAGAAAAGAAAAAGGAAAGCTAGTAAAAACTAAAAAAGGGGCGGCAGCGGCTGCGGCAGCTCCAGGAGAGAAAACCCTAATAACGGAACATCGGGAAATGTTTGGTGGTGGGGATAGACGAAAGGGGTCGGGGGCGAATAAGCAGCACGTTGGGGGTGGGGAGGGCAGTGGGGGCCGGAGGAGACTCGAGAGCTTATCCTCATACGGGGGGAGCTAGAGAGGGACTTCACCGCTGCTAAGCGCAACAAGACCCTTTGGGAAATTGTGAGTGCCAGAATGAGGGACAGAGGCTACATCCGAACCCCTGATCAGTGCAAGTGCAAGTGGAAAAATCTTCTCAATCGATACAAGGTCCCTTCTGTTTTTGTCTTCCTCTTGTATTTTTATCTCATCCTAATACTTCAATTTCTAGAATTCAAAGATGATGGTCTTCTAATTTGACGTCTTCTCCTAATGTAGTACTTCTTCTTATCCTTTCTCAGCCTCCTAGTGGCTCAAAACTCCTAACCTATCCTTAACCATGTATAATCATGGATGATTTTATTCCTGCTGAAAAATGTCGGTGCACTGATGCATCTACACAAAGAGCCCGCCTCCTTTATTGTGCATTGCAATCTTTCCAAATTGCTTCAGTTACAGTCTTGAGCGATATGCCAACTTATTAACAAATCTATACTTCCTTGTCAGGGGAAGGAGACATCTGATCCTGAGAATGGTCGCCAATTTCCATTCTTCGAGGAACTGCATGCGGTATTCACTGAAAGAGCCAAGAATATGCAGCGCCTCTTACTTGAATCGGAGGCAGGTTCTACCCAGGCAAAGAAAAGAATGAGGAGAATAAGCGCAGACAGATCCTCAGATGAATTTTCTGAAGAAGAAGACGATGAAGATGAAAGTGAAGAGGAAAGGCATGCTAGAAGCATTTCTTCGCGAAAGAGGAAAGACTAGACCGAGCTATTGATAAGATAAAATCTCCTAGACCGAATTCTGGCACTAGCACTACCTAGTGCTGGTCTCCAGGAAATGCTTAGAGAATTTTTTCAAGCAGCAAGAGGATGGAGATGCAGTGGAGGGAGATGATGGAGAGGCGTGCTCGCGAGAGACAATTGTTTGAGCAGGAATGGCGGCAGTCAATGGAGAAGCTTGAAGGAGAGAGGTGATGGTCGAACAGGCTTGGAGGGAGAGGGAGGAGCAGAGGAGGCTGAGAGAAGAGAGCCGGGCTGAGAGAAGGGATGCCTTGTTAACCACTCTCTTGAACAAACTCATAAACGATAATAATCTCTGACCTGGAAAGTTTTATCTCCGTAAAGATGAATATACAAAAGTTTGATGATAGTGGTAGCTGCTAGTGAAAGAACTTGTAATCTATAAAATGTATGCATAGAAAGGTATACAGGGAATGTATGTTCAGCTGCGAATTGTTTGGGTATAGAAACAGGTGCTTTTGTTGTATTGATTGATATGGTTTTACTTTATGCAAATGATGCGTTCATTCTTCATTTCCTCCTCTTATTTGAATGGATTTTGTGTTAGTTATAATATAATATAAATCCTATCAATCGAAAATAATATTAAATTAACAATAAAAATGATAATTTTTCAAGCACAAAATTTCTATTTTTATCTATCCATAACATTGTGCCATGGAATTGTTTTTTCTTGACATTCTAAGCATATGGATACAATTGGAACTTCAAGTCTAAACTTTGGACAAGATCTTGATTCTATAGACACATAAACATATTTTAAAGTTTTCTCTACTTAAATTATCCATCGGTTTTTAACGTGGTACTTATGAATGCATAACTCAACTCAACTCTTTATTTCCTTCATGCCACAAGATGACCTTGAATGAAGCAGTATCCATAAGATTCTCAAATAAGGATGCTTCTGTAGCTCCAAGTGTGAAAGTTGCTTGGTCACTGCGATCCGGACAACGGGTATAGGGTTGTAAGCTAATGTTGCCGGGTGAAAACGCCTTAGCTTATTGCTTCCTCTATTTGGCCTTGTCTTTCTCAAGCAAGTATGCCTTCTCTGCTTCAGGTATTGCCAGCATAATACTATTCAGCTTGAAATTCATCTCCTCAACTTTTTCCATGAGCCTATCATTTGTAACCATGCCAACACAGACACTTTTATTGGTCTCCAGCTTTCAATTAATGGTAAAGCAATAATCATGCCGATCAATGGTGCCCCATGCTATAGCAATGACGGCCCAGAAGGTGAAGTACCCTACGCTGAACTCCCTGCATTAAAATTTAAGAGGTGGAAGAAAATGAGTAAAATATAAGTAAGACTCTTCCAGAAAAGCTGCTTTCGTCTACTAGAATCGAAGGACATTTCAAATTCCTAAGCTAATCGTTTGCAACCAGTACATTTTATTTTGTTTTACTATCAGAGACAGAATCTGACTTAGATGACACGTAAAACAAGCCAGAGAAAGCAAAAGGTTAACTGCAATAGTTATTTCCTCTCTGGTAAAAGCAAAGTTTCAGGTATATCGCGTCATTAATTGGCTCTTCTGCTATATAGAAATGTGCATACAATTACAAAGATAATTTACCTGCCGGAAGAGAAAGTAGAGGCCACAATATGACGATGACAAGTGTAAAACAACACCCATTTCATTATCCATGATTTGGCTTTTTTTAGTTTTTCCTCTTTGAACTCTTCTCCTGGCAAATCACTCTTTTCCTTTTCAACCATTGTTATCTGCCTAGTGGTGTCCCAGTTATAGTTGTGAGGCCACAAAAGACTGCAAACAGCATGAATGGCTCCACCTGTAAGTATAGAGACGAGGTTTCCAGCAAGCATTGGCGCATTTCGACCGCTTGTGTCAAGATTTACTTGGCCATATCTACAGCTGCGACTGACAACAAGTGATGATTCCAAAAATGCAACCAACAATTGTTCCTAGAATGGCCCCCCATAGCATTTGCTTTCTCTCAGGAAGCATAAAAGCGATTGGGAAACTGCCGAGCCGATAAGCACTCCCATGGCAAGATACATCCAACCCAATGAAACGCCAGCCTTGTTTAGTATTACTGCAAACAATCCCATGAAACTTCCAAAGCCTAGGACGACCGCCCTGGACACGCTGAGGATCTTTTTCCCGCTGGCATCTGGATTTATGTAAGTACGGTAGATATCATATGTGCACAACGAGGAAACTGCAATTAGCTCAGAGGAACCAGCAGATGTCACAGCCCTGTTCATGATCAATGCAACACAAAATTCACGTGTTGAAACAAAAAAGATTAGTATGTTTCCATTGTATTCATTTATTCCTTAACAGAAGACACGGATGTCGCTAGAACTGAAAAAAAAAAAAAAGAAAGAAGATTTGAAAGCTGAAACAACTTTCTATCCTAGATAAAAAAAGGGAAAAAGAAAACTCAAATCTAACTTCTAGATTCAACAATGTTGCTCAAGTGGATTGTTTTGGAATGGGACATTGAGGTTTAGCCCTGTAAAATAAGTTATAAGAAGAGAATTATCAAACTGTACAAAGGATTTCTTATTTCTGCCATTTTCTATGCTAGAAATACTAAAAGAGGAACCAAAGGTAAAGGTAGCGACGAATGCAGCTTACATAAATAGCATCATAAGGAGAAGTAGAGATCCTCCTTTTCCCATCAAAGCTATAGCAGTAGCAGGAGGAACCAGTCCACGGCTTGCCTCATCCTCTGTTAGTGGTAAATCAAGGGCAAGAGCTCCAAGACCCAATGATGTTGCCAAAGAGAATGGCACCGCAAACCAAACAAGCCCTCCCAGCAAATAACCTCTATGAGTTGACGAAGGTCGAGCAGCAATGGCACTCACCCAGTATCCCTAAAAATTTCCAATTCAAAAACTTCTAGTTAGTATCTGAAAAAATGTGACTGGTAATTCTAAATCTGTAATCACTACTGAAGCTTACGTTGTCAACGAAAACAGTGCCAAAATTGCCGACGATGTTTATAATCCCAAAAACAAGACCGCCTGAACTCAGCATTGTTAAATAAGACCCTTTATAGTTCCCACTGATGGGGCCACAAGATTGTCCATCGTGGGAAATCGGCTCATGACATATTCTTGACTTGCTGGCTATTTCCCGCAGACGGTTGTATACGATGCTGGGGCTACCAAGCTTGTTGCTGGCTGTATAAACTAAGTATACGAAGATGACTAAAGCCACATGCACTACCGATCAAAAAACAAAAGTAGGTCAGATTTAAGACAGCCTATGCTTAAAAGAAAAGTTAAGCGAAATGGACAAGAGCATACCGAAGACAGAGTGTATATAGCTCGCCAAGAAGGTGGCTTTAAGTCCTCCTGCTAATGTGTAGACAATTACCCCAAGTGGTATTAAGAAGCTAGCAGCATATATGTTCACCCCCGTAAGTGCATTCACCACAGCAGAACCACCAAGGAGCAACATTGCCGTGACAATGATATTTGTCAGAAGGCAGAAAGCAAGGAAGACAATATGAGCAGCTTTTCCCCAGCTGAGGTATGTGAAAGATGAAAGATCACCAAGACAGGCATACACACACACACACACACAAAATGAAATCATAAATACTTATACATTAAGGATGGGTGTCATAACTACTAACCATAGTACTTACCGAGCCTTTACAATTTCGCAGACAGTATGAGCATGGGGAGCCTTTCGTTTGATCTCTATAGCCATGACACCAAACAACAGTACCTGTTCATTAGCAAGAATAAGAAACTGCTTACTGTATGGGCAGGTTGCTGATTGTTTGGAGCAAAAATTTTGAACTTGCCTGGATGGTAGCACCGCTAGCATACCAAAAAGGCCCACTGATTCCATACTCCCATGCAACATTGGAACTTTGCAAAATGGTAGCAGCCCATGTCCACTACAGAGGATCAGCATTAGAAACAGGGTATGCCGAATAAATTATGTCTCTCACTTGGCAAACAAAAATGGAGATTTCACCTGTGATACAATCACGCTGGCAATAAGCCCTGTTTTGACATTCCTACCGGCTGTGTTGAACCATTCGGATGTGTGGTGCGACCCAACATATCGCTTCTCTAACCACACCTGAACATGTCATTATAACATCAGTAGGAAGTAGAAATTTGTGCAAGATATGAAGTAAATGTGCATTATTCCTAGAAAATCTGCATTTGGTTTCCTGGTTAGACATACATTATCGGTATTTAGTAAAGCTTTGCAGCTATAGTATGTCCTGAAGATGTTCAGCTTTTCTATGTGCGAACTAACGTCCTAATGCCCATGCAAAATAACTTTCAAACGCTACTGATACTTGACAGCAACACGAAATGTATTTTTACCATGCAGATGCGAATGAATTTAGGTGTTGGCCTAGTGCAAAGCATCATTCATTTCTTAAACTGAGAAATGGCGACTAACGTACCAACTTATACACAAGGAAGCTCAACTAACTAGAAGTATTTCTCAAAGGTTATCACGTCTAATTTTGAAAGCTTTTTGAATGAAGAGGCTTAAGGAAAAGGAAAAAAAATACCTGGTCGAAAATCATAGAGAAAAAGCATTGTTGTGAACCGTATCTGAGTTTCCATAGCATCTAAAAGATCAACATCTAGAGATCCACAAGAATCATCATGTGTGACATTCAGAAAGGTTTTTGTATTGTTCCTGATTTAAGCCACCTTGACCTAGTTGCTCCTTGGAGAAGGTTATGTACATAAGCAACAGGATCACAAGGGGCTAGAAATATGCCAGTCAGAACCACAACCTATAGCAACTCAATTGATGCCAAGCCAAGGCGTCTTAATCTCTTGAGAAAATTTAGAAGCCGAAGCAATGCTACTGTTTGTTGTGGAGAAAATAAATTTCAAACAGTTGCACCTAATCAGATGAGTAGAGATCCGAATATCCAATTACATGCCAAATTAAGTTTCTTGTATGCAGTGTAGAAATAGGTTGTGTCTTAATTATCAGATTACAAGATCAACTAAGAAAAATAGTATGTCCAATGTCTTGCATCAAATCAAACTGAAGTGATGAATTTGTTTGTAGTCTTTATGCAGAAATACAAGCTCGAGTGAAGTCCTAGCTTCACAATTTTTGGCTAGTCTTAAAACTAGAAAGTGAAGGAAAGGAAAAGAACGGAGAATATTGATAGAGAGAACTGCAAATTAAAAACGTTGACTCTTTTGTCCAGTGGGAAATAATAATGACGATGGTTAAAGGTAAGCATTCATGTAGTGTGAAGATTAATACACGACAGATATTCGCAAAGGTAAGATATGTACAAGAGCAAGTGAGAGTGTTTCAACTGAAGTAGAATCAGCCAAGCCAGTGTACGTGGAGTAGAGAGTAAGGAGGAATTACCAGGAAGGAAGTAAAAATAGCGAAGAAGGCACCGAAGCCAAGAATAACAGCATAGCCAAGGCCTTGATTGAGCACTGCTTTGCCCTCAAAGAAACTGCTCTGCCTCACGCACCCTACAGCCTCGTGGATATGGTAGTACGTGGCTGAGAACTCAAACGGAGGACAACTTGTAGTCATACTCGGCGCTTTGTCTAGTGTCTAATGCCCGATGTCCGGTTCATGTTTCAGCCACCGCACTCTTTTCTTCCTTTCAGATAGAAATCATAGCATATCGTTATCAGCACCAAAAGTTCAAAACACAAGAGGCCCTGTTTCTTGTTCCATCCAGCAGCCAAAGTCAAACTAAGCATCTCTGGGTATCACACGAATCTTTTGGATACCATAACCCCATACAAAAGAACAATAAGTCCAAAACGTTTCGCGTTTCCCACATGATAATATATTTGAAATATATA